GCGAGTAGGTGACTTCCTATTACATTATGTGTTGGTACGCTTCAAGAAATGGCAATCTTTTACTGATTGTAGCTACGAAGGACACATGTATGAGTTTATTGATGATCAAGAAACTGTGGTTATGGTCCTTCGATTCTTTCGTTTGCTTGCTTAGTTTGCCTTTTCTCTACCACAAAACTAGTATTATACTACTACTATAAGCACTGGTCTTATTTACAGAAGCTTTGCCATCTGCGTTTTGGTGAATGCCTTCCGAACCACTTGTGCTTCTGTTGCTCTACGGTATTTGTCACATTAGCATAGACGTCATCTCAAAATTACACGTATCTCAAAGCAGCTCCCTCACTAACTACATCATTAGATTCAATTTCCTTCCTTTAAAAGCAGAAGAAATAACAATAATCTTAATAATAATAATAATAATAAAATGCAAGGGAAATATTAAATTCCCGAACTGCCCTCCTCTTACGCTTCATGTATACAAGCATCGAGAAGGGCAAAATAGGAAAAAGGAGACTTCACCTGCGCCGAGGCCTTAGCGGAGAGAGAGTTGGGCCGGCGAGGCCGAGGGGGACCGAGGAATGTCGTCGGGGAGGGAGCGGAAGAGCTCCTCCAGCGCGGGATCGGAGGAGGAGGAGGAGAGGAGGAGGAGGAGGCGGCGGAAGAGCGGGGCGGGGAAGGGGATCCGGAGCACGCCTTGCTGCTCGTAGCCGTACTCCTGAGCGGAGAGGCGGAGGAGCTCGAGGAAGGCCGGCCGGCCGAGGATCTCAGCCCGGACCACGAATCGCTGCATCTCCTTCCCGACGCACATAGGCACGTGGCCCCTCGGTACCCGCCGCGAGTGCTGCCGTCCCTCCCCTCCCCTCACTGCCTGGTGAGGCCCCTTCGTGTCCTCCACCGCAGGGTGTTGCGACGAGTCAGCCACCCTCGACAGCCTCCGCGTCATCCGCTTCATCCCCTTGCAAGGATCGCGACACCCGCAGCAACACAGGAAGCGATGGAAGAGGGTTAGGGTTCCCGCAAACCGAAGAAGAAGAAGGGCACGGAGCGGCAATGGGAGGTCTTCTACCGGGTATTTATAACATTTAATTTTTTTGGGTATATTAACAATAGTAATTTTTTTTATAAACCGGTGATGGGGAGCGAGGAGTACTTGCAGGTACAGTAGACTTTACTGGGTTCCGCTGTCGCAAACTCAACAGCAAACGCCATGAACAACGGCCATAAAATTGTTCGAACCACGTGGCGATTGTCCAATGGGGGAAAGGATCACAGCGTCGTGGTTTCGAGGCGAACGGGGAATCGTACGGGCTCCGATTCAGCGTCGCTCGTTCCGTAGTCCGATTTGTCCGGTGACCGTAAGCGCGCCGGGGCCCAGGGCCTCGTCGTGGTCATTTTATGCCGTCAATCACACCACGATACGAGGCACGACCCCAAATGACCAAAACACCCCTCCCAGCTCTCCTCACGCCAAGCTACGTCAAATTACGTGATGGATGATGTTGTTCTCGACATTTGGACACAAATAGATTCTTATTGCTCGCGTCCAACATCGAGATGTTGTTCTTCTGACATGCCAAACCGGTGACATGATTCATGAACGAGCCAAAGCTGGATTGGCCAATTATCGACAGAAAAAGCTAGGAGTGCAGTGTAAAAACGGTGTCACGCTGCGGTGGCATAGCTGTGGTTTGGGGGACATACGAGGGCGGTGCCGTTGCGAGCCTTCGGTGGACCCCGTGGCTTCTGTTCCCCCTCTCCGGGGGAGGGGTGGGGGTCTGGGAGGGGTTGGAGCGCCTGTCGCCGGTACGATGAGCACCGACCTGGCGACGTGGAATCCTACCATAGCGGGACCCACGGCAGCCCACACCGTAAAAACGTCGGACCCACGCGCTTTCTGATGGCCAATTGGCCGTTCGTTCGGGGCCCACCTGTTTGTCGCGAACGGCGCGTGTTGCGTGTCCTCCGGCCGCTTGGTAGCGCTCGGAATAAACGACCTTCGCCTCCTGGCCCGTCGATGCCTCTGTAATTGGACTTATTTACGAAGGATTAGCCACTCATCGGACCGCCGTGGTCGAGTGCGACCTCGGAACTACAGGAAAACGTACTTCGACGGCCCAACGCCCAATAAGAACGAGGGAACAAGCGACGCGGAGTCGAGTTCTCAGTAGCTGGGATAGGTTAAGAAAGAATTTCCGCCGTGAGTGTCGTGACCCGTCGATCCATCACGTGACCGCTACCTCCTCTTCCGGAACACGCTGCAGTCCCAATTCGAAAGCAATCGGATCTCCACACCGTCACCACACGCTACCCAGTCCGTGTATAAGCGCGTGGTGCTTTTGCCCCTTCCAGCTAACGGCGTACCGGACTTACCCACCACCATGTTACCTTGGACCCCGCGTAGGTCCCATCGCTCGCTCTCTTCAATCAATCGGCAGGCAATAGTGCACAGTTATCAGAACCAGAATCGATGGGCCAATTCATCGAATGATATCGAGAACAATGTTGCCCCAAAAAAAGTTAAATCCCAACATAAATTATCTTCTTCTTCTTCTTCTTCTTCTTCTTTTTTTGCGTCATGCTGACGGGTACGATACGGAATAATTAATGTATATAATCTACTTTTCTCAATCAGATCAATTGGATGTGTAGTAGTCATGAGAAGATAAGGCTACGACTTCTCTTCGTTGTGGACCGGTGAGCTGTGCATGTTTCCTTCCCTTCTCCTTCCCTGATTAAGATGCCACACAGGAACCGGGGAATCATTAATGGCGATCTGCGTGGTCTCAAACACGATGTCCACTTCATGTTTTGTTGTCATGCCATTGCCTCCCTTGTAATGCGTATCGGCTAGGCATATGAGTCGGCATGACGGCAACCTTCCACCTACGGTGCCTCAGCTCACATGCTTCGGTGCAAGCAATCTGAGGAGCCACTGTAATCAACCCCCCTATCTCGATAACAGTGATAGTAACGAGACACTCCAGTACATAAAGCCTCCTTTCGGGTCAGTATATGTAACATTATCTCACAAGTATCATCACATCGATACTTATCTTCATCGAGCTCAAGTAATGAAAAGTGACATGGCCATTACTTTCGATGGATCGGGATTTGAGATACCAAGTCTATTCAAGTTGGATACTGACAACATCCGAGGGAAACTTGTCTTAGCAAAGCTGTCATCGATGATGATCCTATAATAAACATTATATAAACCGATCTCTTGGTGCATGCCTCTATTTTGAACTTTCAAATTATAATCGAACACTCGAACAGCTCATAAGCTTTCTTTTGCTCACAATCCTCAACGTAATCTTTGCAAGTAATTAAGTCTGAAGTGGAATATGAATTCAAATATTTTTTTTTTGAACTTTGGAAGAAATTTTCACCAATCGAGTTGTGACTCCACCACTGTTATTCTTTTTTTCTTCTTCCGAATGCGATGTTGTTAGCGTTCAAAAGTCAGATCACAATTCTACGTCAAAAGCTATTTACTAGGCTTTGGTTGACGAGGCATTAATGGCAACTGACTTATTGATGAAGTCTTCGGTTGACTGGTTCCTCCCGGCACACAATGGAAGCTTTAGTAATGTCGATGGATAAGAGGGCCAGTGGCATCAATCCCTGTCTTCCAGTTTCTGTGGGCTCAAAATAATGTTGTTTCCTTGTTCATTCAGCCAAAAAAATTAAGCAGAGGAAACAAATGATATGGAGCCATCGGAGTTCTGCTCCTCACAGTTTGGTCGCTTGCAGTTGCTTTCCCCTTCACTATTCCAAGATATAATGTTGTCAGAGTACATTATATAGGCTATCTATGATTCAAGATGATGAACGACTAGGAAGAACTGTTGGGGCAGCAGTCAAAAAAGGACTACTCATCAGTAGTCAACACCTTAAGCATTTATCCTCCAAGTTGGTGCTAAAGACGAGCACAAGGAAGACAACATCAACAATGTCAGATGTCTTATCACCAACCAATGTATGTGAAATACTGTAAACTCTATTGGTGGTAGCTTCTCTCTCAGCTTCTCCCCGAGATCATGCAAAAGTCGTCAAGATGCATGAAGGGGATGGTAAATCCTGCATGGATAGAGACAATGATGATAACACTCCAAAATGAGGGCAAGATGATTTTTGTCCTTGATCCAAGGGAATCTGAGGACACAACCGGCCCACAAGACCCCGATGAAGACTTATGTGTGGTGTGCGAAGACCGCTATTTGCACGTCGACATTCCTCGATTAAGAGAATCGTGTGTAACGAATCTTCTTATAGAATTTGAAGCTCATTCAAGCCCTTGCATGGCATAAACTTCAGCCCAAAAACATAATCTACTTCACAAATCCTGGTTTCATATGAACCGAACGAATGCCTCTTGATCAAGATGTTACTATGAGTAGAGACTATGAATGGCATATATACCCCATTTTTCTCGATCAAGAGTGTTTTTTTATTATTATTTGTTTTTGATGATTATATACACACACAAACACATACGACCACCCTTCTCTTTGATAGAACAAACACATTTATGAAACCTCATATAATTTAACGCAAGAAATCAGAACAAACATGCCTCGTGCAATAGCAAGGATGACATCAATATAAACATGCCTAGATTTGGCTTGTTTATGTGCAATGATCCAACTTGTGAAGTTCGATGTTGCACATGCCTAGATTTTAACCATTACTATTCTTTGGCTTCTTTCACGGCAGACATTCATTTCGAGAACTGGAGCTCTTCCACATCTCAGATCTCAGCAGAAGGAGCTGGCGAGCTCTTCAAGCATGTCATCCATTGAGAAATTACCCAAGGTTCTATACGTTCGTATGCAAACCAGATGGTCTGTCTGGGCAATCGACCGGACAAGAAAAGTTGGATTTTTCTATCTTAATCAATGGGCATCAAGAATGCCCAATGCATGAATCTAAATTTGATTGACATTAAATTGTCTGTTATGATCATATTCGGTACGAGTTAAGCTCGTCAACTCCATTTGAGTCAGCATTTTCGACATTTATAGTACGACTTCTTGTGCTTCTGTGTGAGACTAGAGACATCTCAGCCGCAAGTTTTGACGTTAGAATCAATCATCACCCGGTAAATTTGTGCCTCTTAGCAAATGCACTATGCTACCAATAACTCGAGAAAGATCATCATCATCATATACATCAACCACTCCTCTAAGGATGATCCATGGCAATTTCGCAGTTGTGCAAGCTACGAGGCTCCGTGCAGATTCAAGCGCACACCATAAGAAGCTGAGAGTTCGGCTGGATGTTTGCGGAGAATCGTATTGCTCAGAATCTCATGATATATGTTGAACGAGCTCTTACCATGAGCAGGAACACGATCCACACAGGTTCGCATCACCTCCTGATCCATTAGCGCATGCGGTCGTCGATCTGATGTCAACGAATTTGACAATTCTCCATTACTCTATTCTTTTTTCAAGACATCAGTACTGCGCCAAGTATGAAACCATTGACTTCCTCGGCAATGTCTTCGTCGTTCTATATAAAGAGCTCATGTGGTAATTAAGGCTCGTCTCAAGCAAGCAAGAATGCGTTGGAGAAGAGGGAAGGAGGAGGTGGTGGTGTACAAGCGACTGGCCTCCGGCCGCGACTGCACGGAGGACAGAGTCCCGAGAGGACACGTCCCGGTGATCGTCGGAAGGGACGACGCAGAAGCCGAGAGGTTCGTGGTGCATGTGAGAGTGTTCAAGGACCCATGCATCGTCATGCTGCTCGACATGGCCGCGAACGAGTTCGGCAACCATCAGCCTGGCGTTCTGAGAATCCCATGCGACGTCGATCGGTTCCGGCGAATCATCGAAGTGATCTACAAGCCCAGATGATGATTCTGTTCTTTAGGAAGTTGTTCTTCCATGCATGTGTAAAGGAGGTTTTGACCCGTAAGCTTAGTGTGACAGTCTCTCTCTCTCTCTCTCTCTCTCTCTCTCTCTTTCTTCTGCAACCCTCTTCTGTGTCTGATTCCTGCTTCAAATGAGAAGAGAATAAATCTTCTGAGAAGTCACCGTGAGATCTTTCATATCAAAAGTCCAGTGGATAAGATTAATGTCGGCACGCGTCACTCAGCGTCAAGAATGTCCGCTGGCGCTCCTGATTGGTTGACGTGACATTCTCGGTCAACGTGTTTGTCCTTAGATTCGTGTCTCAGTTCTTAGATTCGACCGGAAGGCAGTAGAACTTGTCTGACGTATGACCAACTACATACAGAGAGAGAGAGAGAGAGAGAGCAGCAGCAGTAGCTCAAGAGCACAAGTAACTGAGCTCTTGAGCAGCCATTATTGAAGATTAGAGATGAAAAAGATGTTAGTGGCTGTTTCGATTGTCAATACGGTGTATTGAAATTGATCCGATTTAGTCAATTCTTGGGAGAAAATTTTATATCATCATCCCGAACTTGCAAAGAATTACCACTCTTAGGTTTTTTTATTCCTTAAAGCAGAAATTCTCAACTCAGATACCCCAACTAAAATGATTTCCGTGAAGATTAGTACTAGGAATATACTCATCATAGTTTCTTTGATGCTTAGATCGATTTGAAGTACGGAGTAATATGAAGCGTATGAGAGAGAGAGAGAGAGAGAGAGAGACAGAGAGAGAGAGAGAGAAAATGCTTTTATGGTTGTGTTTGGGGACTTTAGCCATGAATTATTAGAATAAATAATTTTCCGAATCGGCACTGACATCTGAATAGGATGGATTTTGCTTTCTATGCTCTCCTCCATTGTTCTCGTTGATGATTAAGCTAGTGAGCATCTCGTTCCCTGACAGAGCACAAGCTTTGCGTAAAGCCTGCGAGAGAAGGCTCTGAGATGATGATACAACGATTCAGATTACACTAGTGCAGAAACAGAGATCATGAATTAGTGTTCAGATAAAGCTTTAAGTAAATGTAGTCATAAACCCGAGAACAAACTGGTGTTGCATTCCCAAGGAAACCCACTTGATGACAAGCGGCGAGCAGAAGAAACAGAGTGGATCGAGTGGACTAAGCATCGGCAGGTTAGCCGGCCGGAGATAGCTTGGAGTCAAATCCAAGCATGATGATTCCAAACTTGTTACTCCGGCAAAGATGAATCTGACAGCATGTGCTCCAACTCCGGGGATCAATTGCATCTGCCTGTAAAGGAAGGAGTCAGCTGCACATGTCTCCATGTGAGGCCACTGTTCCCACCCAGCCCCACTGTGTCTCCGAGTTCGAGGGTCGAAGATGATTTGGTGATGCCATCCGATAAGAGTGAGTGATTTGGTGAGGAGCAACTCTCATCTCCTTCATTTATAGTGCTCTACTAGTCATATTAGGTGAGAAGAAGTGATAGAGGTTGCAGGAGGACCGTCCGTACCCACTGATGCTTCATGACACCCACCACATGAATCTCTCTACACAAGTATTATTCTTAATTAAATTATTTGTTTTTAAATCTTTATTTATAATTTTCAGAAAAGAATTTTTTTTCCTTTCTGTATATCTCTTCCTGATATTAATATTAATGCCCCATCTATAGGTCTACTTAAAATAGGTTCATATCATTTTAAATTATTTTTTGGGAGTTATGCCTAATTTATGAATTAATTATATATATATATATGTGAAGGATGTTTTCCTACCTTTAAATTATGTCTAAAATAATATTCTTAATTAAATTAAGAATTTTTTAAAATTTTATTTATAAATTTCAGTAAAATCTTCTTAGCTTTTCTTTTTTGTCTCTAAAAAAAAGGTCTTTTCTTTTCACCACAATAATATATTTATATATATAAAGGACGACAATAACGTCTCTCCAACTTCCAAACGGTAGTGACGGCCCAACCTAACTGTCGGTGAAGCGTCCGCATAAAAGTCATCTTCATATATCGACCGTCCGATTCGTGACGTGACTTCTCCGTTTTGTTCCTCGTGCGTCTCGACGCAGGGCTTCCGTCGCGTTATAGTCACCGTCCGTAAGAACAACGAGCCATGAATTCGTGCCGTTAGTTTAACTGGATTTTTATCTGAGGCGGCAGGGCAGGCCATCGGTAAGACTTGGCACGGTGACGGGACACGAATCACCCCTCTAAATGTACCCCCTTCCGACTCCTCCGATCCTTCAACGTCCGTTCCGTTCGCTGCGCTCCTCCGCTTCTCTCTCCGGCGACAGGCAGCATTCGCCTTAGGATCTCCGGGTAGCGGAGGTAGACAGAGAAAGCGAAGATGAGGGAGATCTTGCACGTCCAGGGAGGGCAGTGCGGGAACCAGATCGGGGCCAAGTTCTGGGAGGTGATCTGCGACGAGCACGGCATCGACGGCACCGGTAGGTATGGAGGCGACTCCGACCTCCAGCTCGAGCGGATCAACGTCTACTACAACGAGTCGAGCGGCGGCCGCTACGTCCCTCGGGCGGTGCTTATGGATCTCGAGCCGGGCACCATGGACTCCGTCAGATCCGGGCCGTTCGGCCAGATCTTCCGGCCGGATAACTTCGTGTTCGGGCAGTCTGGCGCCGGGAACAACTGGGCCAAGGGGCATTACACTGAGGGTGCCGAACTGATCGATTCGGTGCTCGATGTGGTGAGGAAGGAGGCCGAGAACTGCGACTGCCTGCAAGGTATGGTTTCAGGATCCGTGATTGGGGGAAATGCTTGTAGATGGATGTTCCTTGATTTTATATCAATCTTTGCTTTTTTATCAGCTAGTTTTTGGGATAAATGGAACGTTTTTCTTTTATCCGTGACTGATTCCTGGATCACAGACTTTCTGTTGCTTGCTGGTCAGATTTGGGGCTAGGTTTTCATTTTAGATGTTGAAGAGATGTAGGGGGATTTTGGATCTTTGTATTATCTATCCATTTCTGTGAATGTTGGATCTCCTTGCTTGTTAATCTAATGAATCTGACAGTGGTCTTTGGGATTTATGTTTACTTTCTGTTAATGTGCTTCTTGAAGTTGGATCGTGTTTGATTTCTAAAATAAAGATGATTTTTTTTTTAACTGCCTGTGAATTATCAAAAGAAAGATCATCCACACACCTATTTCCTTGTCTCCCAATCTTTTGATTGCATTTAGTTGTTTGAAAATGAGTCAATTATGTTCTATTGCTTGGTTCCATAAAACCATTTTAAGCTGGAGATAGTTTTCCACGAAGAGAACATGATTATTTATTGACCAATAATATAATCATGACCACTGGAATGATATATATGATTAGCGTTTACTTTTTATTTTCCGTCTTCATGCTGTTCTTCCTTACAAGATCTAGTTTTTGGTTCTTGTAGATGCATGTGGTTGCATTAAAGTACTTTCCATAAGAGAATCACACACAACATTAATAACACAAAATGTTCTACTTTGTCATGTTTAGGAGAGTACACATGATGGAGCACAGTTCATAATGACATTGTCATCCAACTCTTCAGAAAGAAGGCACACTTGTTTTTGCTATCAGCAAAGCCGTAGTATCTGGGTACTAATTCTCAGATGTTATTCTGCAGGTTTCCAAGTATGCCACTCTCTGGGAGGAGGAACTGGTTCTGGCATGGGCACCCTTCTTATCTCTAAGATCAGAGAGGAGTACCCAGATCGCATGATGCTGACGTTCTCTGTTTTTCCATCACCCAAGGTTTCTGATACAGTTGTTGAGCCATATAATGCTACTCTCTCAGTCCATCAGCTTGTTGAGAACGCTGATGAATGTATGGTACTGGACAATGAAGCACTCTATGACATCTGCTTCCGTACATTGAAGCTAGCAACTCCTACTTGTAAGTGACAAACAACTGCATTTTATCAAAACTATCTTATTGTTTATTGAAATGGCATACTTTCACCGTTGTTTATACATGACTTGTTCTAGTATGTTCTTTGTATTGAATGCATTTCTTGATATTTAAGAGTTCCACAAATAGTTCTCTGTAGATACATTCTTATGTTGTCTTATCATAAGGTTTCTTGATATCTAAGGTTTCTGATACATTCTTATGTTTTCTTTTTACGCTTCAGTTGGCGATCTTAATCATCTCATCTCTGCTACAATGAGTGGTGTCACATGCTGCCTCCGGTTCCCTGGCCAGCTGAACTCTGATCTCCGGAAGCTTGCTGTAAACCTGATCCCCTTCCCTCGCCTTCACTTCTTCATGGTAGGCTTTGCGCCCTTGACGTCGAGGGGCTCCCAGCAATACAGGGCCCTCACCGTCCCAGAGTTGACCCAACAGATGTGGGATGCCAAGAACATGATGTGTGCTGCTGACCCCCGACATGGCCGGTACTTAACTGCTTCAGCCATGTTTCGTGGGAAGATGAGCACCAAGGAGGTTGACGAGCAGATGATCAATGTTCAGAACAAGAACTCTTCCTACTTTGTCGAGTGGATTCCTAACAATGTGAAGTCGAGTGTGTGTGACATTCCACCAAAGGGGCTGAAGATGGCTTCCACCTTCATTGGGAACTCGACTTCCATCCAGGAGATGTTCAGGAGGGTCAGTGAGCAGTTCACAGCCATGTTCAGGAGGAAGGCTTTCTTGCACTGGTACACAGGCGAGGGCATGGACGAGATGGAGTTCACGGAGGCCGAGAGCAATATGAATGATCTGGTGGCCGAGTACCAGCAGTACCAGGATGCAACAGCTGATATGGAAGATTACGAGGAGGAAGAAGAGGAAGAGGAAGAGGAAGGGGAGGCAGCTTGAGGTGCTTGTTGTATCAATCAGATGATATGTTTCTCTTTTGCTTGTTAATTGCAGCTGGGCTTTTGGTAATGCTACTATCGTGAAAGACATGCTTGTATGTCTCTATAAACATGGTTTGAATGTGTGTTCATGTGAAATTTGTGTTGCGCAGAGCTCGTGAGTTTTGAGTGCAATGCCATTTTCTGTGGACTGTGTACCTCTTTAATCAAGCATAGCTTTGTCACTTGATGCGAGTTATATATATATATATATATATATATATATTGGCTGTATTGGTTGGTAGAAGATTTAACCTTTGTTTGGCTTCCTTGATGCAAAAATTGTCATATGAGTGAGTTTATAATTTGCATTAATATCTCAGTTATCCTAAATACAGTGACTCAAATAATGTGGCATTTATATGTAGCTAGAACTGTAATACCTTAGGTTGATCATGATTAATCTCATATATAATGTGGAAAAATCTTGATGCACTACAGACTTGTTGACCAAAAACCCAAGCTTTTTCAACACTGTAAGCCAAGCTGAAACATAGATACATCTCCCAAATGCAGGGTGTGTGGCTTAGGTGGCAGAAATGATCATGAACCAAGTAGCACCTTTAAAAAAGGAAAAAGATAATCTGGTAAGATAAAAATGAAGTATGTACATGTCAATATTTTCTGTCATACACAACAAGCAGATACCTAGTCTTTTTACCATAGCATCAATGCTCACTACTCAAAATATCACCCATTAATGATATGACATGATTTATCATTAAATAGCCATGGGAAAAAAAAAAATCACAATAGTTAGGTAAAGCAGTGAAACAAACTGCAGCAACAAAACAAGATCTGAAAGGTGTGTCTTCAGCTTCTCACATATAAGAAAAACAACTCAAACTCTAGCATGAACAAAACAAAACAAAACAAAAAAAGAAAATTAAGTTATTCCAACTTTCTAGAATTAGCAACACCAGACCTTGCTAATGGCATGAAAATTGGAGAGTATTTGTGGTATCGGATGAGCATGAGCAAAACAAGAGTGTTTGCAACCAGGAACAAGATGCTTGCCAACCATAATTGTACAAAGACGTTTCGTCCCTTGAACTCTAGTATATATGCCCACATCAGCCAATGGATTTGGGATGCCATCCACACGAACATGCAGATTAAACCTTTCCATTTAACTTTCATGCTGCTCCAAGGAAGAATCAGCGGCAACAGACAGAAGAACCATACAAAATACTGTGCCGTCATAACCTGTAAATGAACATTAAGAACTAATCATTACTTACCAGAAGAAACTATATTGGAAATCGACATTTTTAGTAGTGAATTTGTCTAAAGGTTAGTGTCCATATTGGCCATGGATAACATGTTAACTATCTCTAAAAAAAGAGGATTAACACACCTTGTTGAAAGCCACAAATGCCACTGTCTGCACAAAAAGGCAGAATGGAAGGTCTCCAGCAAAAGAGAAGATGAGGGCAAGTTGCACCATTGTTTGAGGTAGAAAGGACACAAACTTCTCAAAAACTGCGAAACCTTGCTGGTGGTGGAGATAAACATGATAGAAGTATATCGAGAAGTTGTGCCGTGGGTCAGTACGTGTAAGATGATACAATAGTGCTTCATTTAAGAAGTCCCATCCATAAATATAGAAGAACATTATGGTTAAAAGAAAAAATAATGTTCCAGAGAATAATCCAAACATTACTGTGTCCCATGTTACAGTGCTTCCAAGAGGAGCCCACAAACCATTCCAGCCTGGTGATGATTTTGCAGAAGCTGAACTGGAGTTGTTGTATAAAATATCTCGTCGAGAGTTCCATTGCCTGAGGGTAGGCTTCCGAGAAGGACCAATACGTTGTTTGCTCAGAACTATGACAAATGGAAGGGCATATATGATCGGGTATATTCTGAAATGGACAATAAGTCCATACCAAAATGCTGCCTGAAATACTTTACCTGTAATTACAACAAAAATATATAGGTGAAAAAGATGATGAGTAGTTGTTGATGGTACATCACAGAATCAGTTTAGTGTTTGCTAAAACTTGCTTTTGGACTTGAACACAGTTCTAACACGATAGCTAGTAAATGAATTAGAATACTGATCACTTGAAGAACACGCCATCATAACATGAAGTTTGAAATAAAGTAATTTTGGATGCAAGGCATAATTAATTTGTAAAATCATTATATAATGCTTTGTCAATGTATTCAAGTCTTACCCAGCAAAAAAATTTCAAGATGTTAGTAGACCAAAGTTTCAGGAGATGTCTGTAACATCAAAATTTTAGCCATGACTAGTTCTGAGAAGCTTAAAACCATATATAATCGCTTGAATAAAAGAAATTAATGGTTGAACAAGCAGAACTTACACCATTCATAATGCACAAGATGATCCATAAGATCACTGCACAGACAATGGGTTCACAGTTTCCTCTTGTACCAATGGTAAAAGTGAATGGATTGAAGAGCCAAGCTGCCACAGACCAAAGCCGCAGGTCCTCTGGTACACCACGTAGCTTCAGAATTGCATCCACAAACAAACCCACAAGCAAATCTGAAAACGAGATGGCACCCAAAATACTAAATATTAAACCCTAACCAGATAAAACCATGAACACAACATTTATAACAACTTAAGTGGCATGCTGCAGTATAATTACTCAGATATCTCAGTCTTCATCGGTTAACTTTACTTGCAGAAAGCAACTCATTAATCATAAGGAATATGAGAAAGAAAAGAGCAAACTTTCACAAATGTTGAGTTAACTTTCAAGCTGATTCTCAGAAACCGATTACAGTAAAAACTAGGAATTCCATTGGGAATCTACTTATCAGCCAAACTGTAGATTATATGCTGGTTGTTCATCATTGCTGCTTGTCTTTCATCTTAGCATTTCTTCATCATTATAAGATCAGCTATAGGCACAATTCAAAGTTAAGAAGCCGCATGTAAGCATGTTACAACCAGATAGCAATTTGACATTAAGCCTTTTAAGTTGTTGCAAACAACATAGCAAAAGAAAATTTAGATGAAAGTGTGGCTGCTTCAAACTTAAAAAGAAGACCAACATCTTCTAAGCATAAGTAAAATGCAATCAATTTACTGACAACCCAATAGATATTAGAATAACGGCGTCACAGAGGATGGAACATAATGAGATTTGCTTTAGGACCAAATCTTTAACTTAAAGAATAAAAATTACTGGTATCACTCTCATTCTGCATTAATTTACCTTCCGGAAAACTATACCAGCTCGATTTTGGGGTAAAAGAATAACCTTTTTTCTGGTGGAAGTTCTAGCCAGAGTAAAGACAAACGTCAACAAAATCGTCCTTTAATTTCTTCGACAATTATAGAGAAAATACTGCATAATTCAAGAGAGAACGAAGACAAGTAGAAAAAACAAGATAAAAAAATGCATCTTTTCACCATACCGGCAGCCGAAAAGAGGAGCTTTCCCCAGGACGGATGAAGGAGGGAATTGGGAACGAGCAAGTAGGCAAGGAGAGGCGAGTAGCGATACGTCGCCCGCTCGAACGGCGATCTACCGGCGGCAACCATGGCGGCCGCGTCGGAAAAGACGAGGTAGTCGACGTCGGTGTACCGGACCTCCATGTGCGCGTCCTGCCACTCCCCGTAGCACACCAGCAAGAGCCGCAGCAGCGCCGACAAACCCAACATCCGCCGCAGATCTATCCATCCCATCGCCCAAACCCTTCCAATCCCAATTCGCCGATCCAAATCTCTCGCCGATCCAAATCTCTCGCCTCTCGAAAAGCCCTAATTGCCGATCTCTCTTCTCTCTCTCTCTACGCGTTAATCTAATGCTACTGTAAAAATACCCTTATATTTACGAAACTACCCTCGATGGAAGCAAGTAATGCATTAGCTTCATCCGGTGTTGCTGAAACTAAGCCTTATACAAGGATATATTTACGATAATACCCACGATAGAAGCTAGCGATGCATTTAGCTTCATCCAACGCTTCTGTAAAATACCCTCGTACAAGGATATATTTACGATGATACCCTAATAGTAGCTAGTGATGCCATTAGCTTCGTCCGACTGTTGTTACGTACAAATACCCTCCTCGTACAGGAAGACATGTACGAGAATGCCCTCAGCAGTAGTTAGTGATGCATGGAATTGATGTACGTCAGAGTTTTTGTGTCGCAAACGTACACATTCGGATCAAAAAAAGTGTGTAAACATTGTTTGTTTGGTGTGAGACTCGTTGCCGTCTTGGAAACACCTTTCGGTCCTGTTTTATTAAGCTCATTCGCTCACGTTTTATGGCCAATCCTAGCAAACATTTCATAAAAGTACAATTATGAATGGCCGTAATGGGCTCTGTCATGGATTGTTCCCGTCCTAATCGGTGTTCTTAATCCTGTAATGGCTACTTCTTTTTTTCTAACCTCTTCCCGGTGTTTGGATGTCAGTGAGTGAGTTGGTGACATGCACTCGTCGATCGATATGCTTCCTTTCATGACTAGAGATTTATTTCCATGAGATGGGTTGGGTTCTTCAGCGGGCGATATAATATGAGAGGGGACATGTCCTTTTTAGTTTCAAGCGATGCTTCCTGATGGAGTTGCTCCGTCCGTACATACCGTGTTGCGGGCAACAATAAAAGATGGAAATATTTTCACTATCCGGAAAACAAAAAACACAACGCCAGTGGCTCTGTCACGAGTCTTGTCATGTCGGTGGTCAGAGGAAGCCCGAGATCTGCTGTCTTAGTCAACGCAGGAGACACCGCTTCCGTAGCCCTCGACGGTGAGGTCGACCTGTTGCCGGTTGGGCCCCAACTATCGGTGCAGGAGGGTAAAAAAAGCTGGTGCACGCCCTCGACCAAGCGATTGGAGGAGACATGGACCGGCCCACCATGCACGGTTGGTTCGGCCCCCTTCCACACCCTCGACCCATCAACATCAAGCGGCCATTGATTGGAACACACTGTTATCGATGCGGGGACCGAGAAAGATGATGATCCACAGTGTGTCTCGGCGAGAGAGAGAGAGAGAGAGAGCGGTGTGATGGAAGAAGCAGAAATCTGCTCGCTTTCTCACACGTTTTGACGCCAACAAAAACCAAAGGGCAGTTGATGGGACTCTGTGTCAGAAGAAAAAGATCACGTCGTTCAGTCTTCCATCTCCACCCACCACTTGATCTGATTTATGATAGGAGGTTTACTATAACAGGAACGAAATCACCAGTCATTTCAAAGCCCATACGGTGTGTGGATTTGATGCGAGTAATTAAGTAACTGACTCGATCACACACACACACAAAAGAAGAAGGTTTCCTCTCTTTTTTTTTTTACATTGGTGTATGATATGAATCGTACACCTTATATTCCTTCCATGTCATTATGTCTCTCCAAACATGTTATGCACCGAGTTAGGCTATTGTCTACTCAGACAAGAAAACTATGATCCAAACCCTCTTTGATCTTTGATTTAGATTTTGAACAGCCATAAGATCTCCAATTCAAATAGGGGTCAGTGTGTGTATATTATTGTCCTTACTAATTTAGCATGTAAATGTAGACCGTCTTCAGAGTGGAAGTAAACCTTCATTAATTCCCAACTTGGTCATCGTTGCGGCCATTGTTATGAGGAATTATGATGTAGTCTGCTCGATATTGTATGTTTAAACTTGGAGCTGAGCTCACCACTTGAGACCATTCACACGCTCGTTCATATTATTTATGTGTCGTTATAAAAAGGACATTATGGCAGATGTCCATTTTCCTTCTCGTGTAGAAGACAAAGAGTCACCCGGAAGAAGATCCCTCTAGTGTTGTACTATTACGGAAACAGGCAATGCAATTGGAGCTATTTATGACAAAGATAGACAACAATGTGAAAGGACATGCAGCGATTGGATGGAGTAATTAATTAGGATGAATTAGACTGATCATTAATCCTAAGATAACAATGATAGCTCGCTAGTAAAAACTGTCGGCTTCCAGTGTCCTGCTGCTATATAGGACATGCAGATGCTTTTGAGCGATGACACGTTGATCACATTCATGTTGCTTTCCTGCTGCTCCTGCAACACCCAAGGCTTCCCTGCCATCACCATTATCATATTCACTGTCAGGAAAAGAAAGATGATCGTCATGGTAATTAAGCAACCTGAGATTATCCATCTCTCTCACCCATTGCAGCAGCTGTGGAGTGGATGTCAGGGTTCGGAGAGAGGCAGATCATCTGACAAGAAAGCTGCAGGGGTTGAAGATTGAGACCTGCAGCAGTATCCGTAAGACAATATACAATGTGCAATTAGCCTTGTGGTAGTTAACAGTAGTACCGCTCCCCATCGCATCAAAAGGCACCAAAGCCTTTCATGGCTGCTCACCGCAGACGAAACATC